AAATGTCTGCGGTATTGCCTTTATTAATATCAACCGCCTGGAATCGCCGTAGTTATTATCGCGTCGATTTAATATCGTAATAGCGATTTCATACTCACGCATAGTTACGCGCGGAATCACATTTATATGCATCGATATCAAGCATTACCGCAGAGAGTGCACGGCCGATTATATAATTACTACTCGTGGATACGCATGACGGTGATATTCGGCTCTTGCCTGATTTAATCCGGGATCGATGTGATCATAAAATTTCCATTTCCAATCTGGCAACTTGGGCAGCGGCAGGTCCATTGAACGAAATAACTCCGCGTTCTCATTCCTTTCACGATCGATATCTCTAGCCATTTTTGGCTGGCTCGATCTTTACGACGAATCTCGTAAAAAGGCAAAGCGGTGTATGTATTCCGATGGAGCTTCAGAAAGTCAGAGTTTCGGAATGGGAGAAGACAAGGCGAATAGTGGGAGGAAAATGGATTTCAATATCCCGGAAAAGGAATCGCAAAAATTCGGATATTAGCTCGCTCTACATCGATGGTAATCATATGTGAGGAGTCGTCGGTCTATGAGAGAGCGGCAAGGGTAACCGTCGTACAAGGGAAAGGAAAAGAGAAAAAGAGAAAGAGAGAGAGAGATGGGAAAAGCGCGGCGAGCGAAATGTGGAGGGCGAACGCGGACTTGCCTTTGAGGTTCTGCCAAAGAACATTCCGTACGAAAAATAAAGCAAATAAATCGCGTGCTTCAGACGTTTACGTAATGGGAAACGAAATAGGATGTTGACGACGACGAGTTGTTTCGCGCGTCGCACCGGCTGCCGATTTGGCTGTTGCGAATTGTGGACCAACCTTCGGCAACGCGTCGCCGTTCGTGCGCGAGTTCGGGAAGGTGCGAAAACGCGAAGGCGAACCCTAGACGCGTCTCTCGTTGGACCGCCTTGTACAGCGGGGAAAAACCCAGGTGCTCTACGAGGAAAAATATCCAATCTACTCCTGTCGGTCAAAGGGAAAGTATCTTGAAGCAAAAAGGCCGACAGAATGACGTGAACGCGGCAACGTCGAAGTAGACGAACCCCCAACCGGAGGTGGAGGAAAGAAGGAGTTTCGTATCGGCGCGCCGAAGTTACTCTAAAAACGTCTCTTAGTTGCCTTCTTTGGGCCGCCTTGCAGTTCAGTTTGTTGCACGTAATTTATTACGTGGTCTGTTCTCGAATAAATGCTTCATCGAGGCAAGTAGGTGGTCGCTGAAATAGTATTGCTTAGAAATAGATTTTTAACTAAAAAAATATAAATCGTCATCAGGATGACTAATATAGGCGAAAGACAATTCTATTTGATAACAGTTTATTTTAGATTCGACGATCTATAATGTTTAATACAGTTTAGAAATCAAATTTAGGACAGAATTTTATTTATAAATGTGATGTATCAGATATACAAAATTGAAATGTTTCGACACAAGATACAAGTTAAAACGTATTTATATGTATTTCAAAGTATAAAATGACATGTGACATACAAAATTATAAATAGACCTATCTTAATTAAAGTCTGTCATGAATTATAAATCTTGAAAAATGAGAAAATTTACAAATATATAAAATTTTTATATTCTTAAAACATTGATGAAAATGCTCTTTATTACAATTGCATAGTTTATTTTAAAATATTAAAGTAAAAAGTATTATTTTGACGAACTCTTATAATACGAAACTCTGCTTCGTATTGCATAATTTTATTCACTCCGCTATGATAGAAGCACGAATATTCTGATGAATATTCATTCCCGGGCATTTTCGCCACGTCGTACATTAATGACAAATGGGATCGATAAAAAAAAAAAAAAAACCCTAAGCACTCTCTCGAGCGTATCGCGGGGTGCATTTTAGGCGGCAATTTTTTTTCTCCTCGTTCCATCCGGATAGCACCTGCGTGCGCAGATCGTTACGAAATTGCACGCTACGCTCATGCAGGTTTAAAAGCTCAAGCGTCGTTGCGGACCGGGCTTGTTTCTTGATACCCGTAGATGCTTTTTGGTGGATTTACAGCCGACAGTACATACGTAGGCAAGTGCTCCACGGCGGGCAAGGAAGGCTTTGCCCGGATGGAGGTTTAGAGAAGACGGAGTCAGGGGGTTGAGAAAGAAAGAGAGTCCTCCTGGAGGCAGGAGGCAGCGATAAAACCAGCACCACGGAGGCGCGTCGGCCGGGATGTTTTTAAAACTTACTCTTCCATCCGCGCCGACACACCCACACCATTAAGAAGTACATACCGGGGGGGAAGATTCTCTCTTCCTCCGCAATTTCTCTATCATTCTCTGACTCTCTCTCGCACGTCGTCTTCTTTTTCCTCTCCAACAAGCGGCCTGTAAAGTCTGCTGTGTACTACGTCTTTCGGCTTCACCCTGACAAGAATACACGTCACGCTCGAACAACTCACTCCACAACTCTTCCCATCTTTCCCACCATTTCTCGCTTCTCTCCTACCTACCGTTTCCCGCGTTCCTTCCGTTCTCGTTCGAAGCCCGAGAAACCAGACAGGAAGGAACGGATTCGCCGCGCCTGCAACCTCTCGCTCTCGTAAGATTTCGGATCACGGGTAGGAAAGGGCGGAGAGAGATTGGTGAATCGCGAGCGGAACCCCCGAGGTCGTTCGCGCGGATTTAAATATCTGAAAACGGCAGAGAGAACGGCCCTTTCCGCCACGCGCGTTTAGTAAGCCCTGTTTTCCCTTTTTCTCTTTTTTCACGCGCTAGAGCGTCAATCTCCTATCAGACGGGTCCCGGTCTTTCCATCGTCTTACTGTTAAAAGCCGGGCTTCTCTTTTCTCTTCTACACTCCCAATCTCGTCTCCGCTTCCTCCACTTTTTGCCGTCTGAAAGCTCGATAGACTTACGGCGCTGGCTGTACGCTTATCTCCGAGTTACGTGCGAATATACGCGCGAGGGTGCTTACCGGTATAAAATAGGTTGAATTTAAGCGGCTGAATTCGAAGAGAGAGAGAGAAGACAATTTATTCGACAAAATTTTGCAGTATATTATTTTTGCTATAGAAAATATTTTGCATCGCTGCCATGGGAATGTTTTCATTTGAAGGTTTCCGTTAGCAATGGTTTTTATTGAAACTTAATTTAACATGACATAATGTACAACCAACGGTATATCGATCTACTTCAACACAGCGATAAACGAACATTTTTGGCATAGCGTCATAAATGTTACAAATAATGGATGACTTTTTAAATGGCGCGAGGATTACACTGTGTGTTCAATTAAATTGGGACAAATATTTTGTGAAACGTTTTACGCGCTCATATACATATGTATTCTCCCGTCTGAAATATCTGAAATGCGCGTGTTTCGTCGCAAAATGCCCGAGCTCTCTTAACTAAAATTCGATCGGTCGCGTATTTGCTTGCGCCGTAGTGGCAAACGCGGCCCAACTTTCGCGAGAATCCCCTTAAGCTACGTACACACAGTTAATAGATCAGACCGTGCGATAATCGGATCTGCGCCACGTCGGTGCGGCAATAACGTCGCGTATTCATCCCAACCGGGGGAGCTCTCATTTTTCGGGCGGGCGTCTTTAATTAAGATCTTCCGTGGAAATTTCCCTAGCGTATTCGGCCAGAAGAGAAGGAAGACGAGCCGGAGGAAGAAGCTCACTGAAAGCGTCCGCAATTCCTCGATAAACCGCGTTGAAAGGAAACTCGTTAAAACCAATCTGCCAGGGATCGAGTCGATCGTTTTGCACCATTCGACTGCGGGAAGGGAAAGCGAGGGAAAGAACGAAGGGTGACCGAGATCACGCGAAGAACCTCGCTGAAGGACAAGCGAGAAGGCAGCACGGGCGAGGGCGACCTTTAACAAGAAATGCGATTAGAAAGAGTCTCTGAAAAAGGAGAGAAATTTTCCATGTCTCGCCCATGGAGAGGCATCGGCGCTTAGGGCGGCGAATCTTACTCCTGATTGTATCAACGTTGTTGATCGCCTAGGAAGGAAGAAGATACGGCGATCTAATTAAAAACTTTCGGGAGCTCGTTCGGTTGGTCCTCGCGGCTATCTGCAATCGGCGCCGCTCGCTGATGTAGACAAGCAGACGAGTTCAAATCGAGTACGCATGGAGAGGGAAATAGTTGAACAAGGTTGTTTATCTTTTTCGATTTCTCTGCTGGGATGTTGGAAATAAAAAAGAAGAGCACACAAGATAGATGCATTGTAAAGAATGCATTCCAAAGAGAGGAAAATAGAAGTAGCGGGAGAGAAAGAGAAGGGAAGAAAGACAAAGAAAAAAGAGGAAAATGGAGGATGAAAGCGAGTTGCCTAAAGCAGCAACTACTAGACATAGAAAGTGAACATGGCAGGTCGACCAGGACGAGGGGGTAGATAATTAGACAAGAAACACAGGCCTGGTTTCAACTTCGAGCCAGCACTACCTGCCTTATTCGATCTTCTCTCCCGCGCCCGTATCCTCTTTAATTAAATATAAGCGTCGGGGTTGTCCCTGTTTCTCAAACCAAACCGCCCGCCTTCTTCTCCCGCATGTATCTTTCGATGTTTTAGCATTGAGTTTCAAATATATCTATCTGTTTATATCCTAGAGGCGCGTTAATATTTTTTCTGCCAATTAATCATTTTTATTACACATTAGATAAAATAATATCCTTAAATTTATCAAATCCTTATTACAGTTTATTAATTTATATATTTTATTTTTAATATATAATATATAATTCTTTATATTGCTTGTTACGTGTATGATATATAGTCCAGAATCTCGTTGAAAAAAATTGAATTATTTTTAATTAAAAACCTTTCAAACATCTCTCGATATATTTTTATTTATGAGAATATCAGTTTGATATTAATATTATATAGGTAAATCATATGCGCCAGTTAATATTTCAGTAGGGTATAATATAATACCGTTGTCTATATATAATACTAGTATAATAATATTATTATATAATATAATACTGCAAAATTAATAATATTTATCTCTGCCGCTACTATGTTTTTTTTTTTACTGCTGATTATCAGCAAATGTCTTGGAAGCATTTATTTGTGATGCTACAGTACGATTTAGAGTAGTAGTTTCGTGTCCTCTTCGAATTATCGGCGACTCGGTAGTAATTATCCTGAAAGCATGGTGCGAAGTCTCGAATTCTCGATTAGCTTCGCCACTTGCCAGCCTCTCCGAGTTGAATAATCGTCCATTCTCGCGTTTTATTGTTATCGAACTCGACTCTATGGAATTGTTATTTGCTTTATCAATGAACGTTTCATTAAGATCAATTTGCTTCGCGGAGTTTGCAACAAAGCCATTCTTGAAACCAGGCTTCCTCGGAATGGCATCTTCTACCAAAGAACCGTTCGAAGAACTTTGTAATAAAATCGATGAATTTATCTGTGAGATATTATCATTATTAATAAAGTACGGTCTGACGCGTGCTCTTCGCCGTTCTCTATCGAAATCAATATTCATTGGAAACTGACCACGAGGTATCCCAGCTTGATTTATATTTGCATATCTAGTGTGATAATCATTAAGGTTCGGCTTTATGCGTTGATAGCCATATCTGCTTTTACGTTGTCGATATTTTTCCGTCCCATCTTCATTTTCTACATAAAAAGGTGATAATAGCCAGGTGTCATTAGTGCGCAATGGCTCGAAATTGGCACTTGTGTGAGTTACGTCGCGATTATTCCAGGAAAATTCAGCAACTTCTATATTGTCCGTGGAGGAAGCTATTTGCTGTTCGCTTACATTGTCCGCCGGTGACTTCAGGAAACTCTCGATTGATTGTCTGTGCGTATTCAAGGAGTCGAAAACTTGGCGGGATATCTGCTGGTAAGTTAGCTTCTCCTGCTTGGGAACGATATTATTCGAACGTGTCGCTTGACCCTCCACGAACTGCGATGATGTCGAGCGATTCGAAGCGTTGATCGGCGGATGATCCGCCGGCACCACGTGGACCAAATGCTTTTGACCTCGTTGATCGGTTCCCAGGATCAACTTGGACGCCAATTGATTCGCTTCTTCCGCCGGTTCTTCTACGGGCAAAGGTCGATGTCTCATATTCCGGTACTTTTGCTCGAGCGACTTGTCGGTACTCTCCAGAATGTGATTCTCTTTTTCCGAGATTGAGTCCGCGAAGGGATTCTTCGCATGATGATGCTGTTGCGGAAAATTGTTTTCGAGATTAGGCGGAGAATTTTCTGAGCCGTTGTTATGTTTCGTTTCGGTGACCGAGATTGAGCCCCGTTCTCCCTGGGATGTTACGTAAATGTAGAAATTGGGCCAGAGATTGTTCGTGCGGAAGTAATCGTCCGTTTGCGAAATTATAGTCAGCTGGAGATCATGTCGCGAGGGATCAAAGGCTGACGGCCGCTTGACCCTCTGCAGAATCCACTTGAACAAGGGATCTCCCTGTGTTACGCACGGCTCGCAATCGACGCATCCGTCCTCGCACAGCATCCAGTGACCGTTGGACAAACGATAGACATTCCCGCGTGACAGAACGTTATCGCTCGAGTACGTCGCGGCGACCGAATTACCGTAGAAGGATGTGTCCAGCAGGCGTTTGTGAATCGCGTTGGTATCGAACAGCGAAGGAATGATCGACTCGAGGATAATCTCACGGAGCACGAACTCTTGAGATGGCGCGAGATACCACGGAAGTGACGGTATCGCGGGATTGTATCGCTGCTGCTGCTGCTGCTGCGCGTGTCTGAAGAGGAGATCGCCATGAGTCCGAGTAAACAGAAGAAGCTGAAAGGAGACTCAGATTACAATATCGTCGAATATTTTTTGCCTGGCGTGTATGGCGGATGTTTACAGTACGACGCATCCCCGGAGTTTGTTCGAACTATACTATAACGATATTTCCGGAACGTTGCCCCCAGGGCTGTGTTGTGGCGGATATAAAATTATTGTTCGATGCATTTTAAATACGTGCGTATCGTTCCGCGAAACAATCGGGAAACAATCGTGCAATACAATCGGACCGGATTCAGCGCGAAAATATATAAATAGATCATTCGTTGACATTTTTTTTTTAACTTGAGCGATATGTAGATAAACTCTCTACGAGATACGCTAATTATAGATGAAAGTCGAAATGAAATCTGTCGTGGACCGAGATAGAGCCATCAACGTTTGAGGAGGCAATGTAACAGATTTAATCCCGTCGAATAAAAAAGATATTTTAAAACTCACCGTCATCACCGCGCAGCTTCCCTTTAACGTATACATCATTTCGTAGCCGTGATCGCCACCGCACTGACCGCACGCGGAAAAATCGCGAAAGAAGACAGAAAGAGGTTGTCTCTCACCTGACGGATGAGTAAATCATACGGACGGCGTAACACCGCCGTGCTATCGAATGTCGAGGCGTTCGACTAGATATCGGCCAGAATGCTGACATTACTCACAGCTAAACATTCGCCCGGTGATCAAACAACGTAACTCAAACACCGCCAATGTCGGCTTTATCATGGGTAATTCGAGAACGCAGCTATATAGATGTACCACCACTGAATCATTCATACTCGAAACGTTACTCAAGCCTCTCCAGATTTTGCCGAATCTCGATAATGCGTATGATGGAATTTAAAGGGGAACTATTTTCTTAAAAAAGATGCATATGATTTTTTTCCAAGAGATTTTAAAATTTTATTTAATTATTTGAAGAGAATATTCTCTAACATAGACCTTAGAAAGCTGAAAGATTCTCTAATTGTAAAATTAGTCGAAATTATGAGAAAATAATTTTATTGGTTTTCAAATTTTCAACGTCCGGAAAAGATGACTTATTCATATTATATTTAATTCATGCGTAATCCGGTTAGGAAATACGGCGATTTTAATTCGTCCCTGATCCTTTCACGATACAGGAGAATTCATCATAGTCGCGAAATGGATATGCGAGCGATATAAATACACGATCGAACTGACGTCGATCGTATCTGTTCAACGGAAACGCTCGAGAATATCATATCCGGGGACTCGATAAAATATATACGGTTCGATGTAATCTGCGGTAGTATAGCAAGCCTGATTCTCTGTTTCACGTTTCGGTCTACCGGCCACGTGCAGTCAGATAAACCGAACTTGTTTGTAGAGAAATGACACGCGGTGAATTACTGTTTCATTAACGCGTCACATCTATGATATTTGATGAACGACAGAAATGATTGAAAAATATTAAACTGCAAACTGCAGCGCAAGTAGAATCTTTATGATTTATACGACACTCTTATTGGGACATAACATAAATGTTATTAAGAAAAAAAGGTTTTTTTAATAATGAAGCAATATGTGCACGAAAAGAGATTCAAAGTTATTATATAATTATAAAATATCGCAAGATGCATCAAAATATTAATGATTACACGATATGAAAAACGACTATGTGAATATTAATTTCCTAAGCGACATTAGATAATGATATTTTAATTACTATTAAGCATATCATTTTATTCACATTAAAAATTAATAATAAAGTAATTTTCTCGTCGAGACTTTTATAAATTTTTAATGACATGTTCTATAATACAAATAACTTCCAAACGGGCACGCTACTTGTCAGACATGTTCGTAGCGCCAACTGTGAATATAAGAGCAAAACTTTACTTCCCTCAATCTGCTGGATAAGGGATGAATGTAGGAACAAACGGCAATTGATTTTCAAAATTGACAATTTAGTCGATGTCTTTTACAATAACCGTACTTTTATTTGAGAAGTCGAGTATTATGATCTTTACATAATTCCTGAGAAATTAATTATTCGTGTAAAAAAATGGCTGCGGAAGCATCCCCAATTGTTAGTCTGCAAATTTCTCTTCCTCAAATGCTCGATCTTGCTCTCGGAACGCCGGAGGTAAAACAATGATAAGATTACAAATTATGCATGCAACAGATAACATGACTGACAGAGTAATTGATTTCAGATTGGCGTGGTTAACTTTAACATTCTTCATAATTTCCTCCACGTCTTGTTGCAACAAATAAATTTACAGACTGCTAAAGTGGAGTACCGCGGTCAAAACGCGGATCGTATTAAAGTAAGAAAAATAAACAATGAATAAATGAACAAAAAAAGTAATAAAAAAAGTTTTTATGCGTTTATTTACGCGAAGACTTTTATAGGCGATGGTTCAATCCTTAAAGCTAGGACCTGCTCTTTACCTGCAAGAATACAACGTTACCGATAGTACTGGTAAAGTATCGCAACAAATTCGAGAAGACGATGCAGGGGTTGAAATATTTACAGAAGGTACAAAGCTCTAGCTCGTCCCGCGTTTTATATCCTCATACATTTATTTAATTTATTATAAGCTGCTGTGCGTATAATAAAGCAGATGTAATTTGATTTAGATAGCGAACCACCTACGGAGGAAGATTTAAAAGTAACGAAAGCAATAAAACAACAAGTAACTCCTGGGAAGGAAGGCGAACCTCAGACAGTCATATTTGTGGAACCTGTCGTAAATGGTTCTTCTCCTACAGCATTAGCATTCAAGGAACTCGAACAATCTGTGCGTGGACGAAATTATTTTTGACACAGATGATACTAAGAGTATAATGTAGAAAAATAATGATACAATTGAAAGACATAATTAAGTCAATAAATCAACAATAGGTGAAACAGTTACAACAGCAGTATCAAACTCTGGAGGAGTTGTCTACGTCTCCGGAAATAGTCGAACGTTTAAAAGGCAGGAACGGAGATCCTATCGCAGATGTGTGGCAATTTATCAACATTAACAAAAGATTAGATGCGAGCGAACAAGGTATCGAGAAGGTATACTACTTGCAAATCTTGTAAATTTTTTACAGATAATATTTACGTTAATATTTTAATAAAAGAAAAACACAAATAAAAAAAGAATAAAAATACTTAAAAATATTAAACTATTATTACAGCTCACAACAATGGTACAGGATGTAATTAAAGGCGATATTGATGTAATTACAACAGCAGACATGTCGTTGATTAACACGAGATTGGATGAACTCGAAGAAAAAGTTGCAAAGATGGAACAGAAGCTCACTGATTTGCAAACGATTGCCGACTTACTGGAAGATATATCGCCAACTGTTGATAATCTTGTAATAGCAACAGCGGAAGCTGTAGAAACCGCAGCAGAGAAAGTTACAGAAATCGCAGAAATTGTAACCACTGAAGACACCGTACCATTCCCTGAAAAAGAAGAACCGGCAAGGGAAATTCCTAAAATAGCAGCTGACAGAATTTCCACACCAGTAGTTGACACAATATCAAAAATGTCAGTCGACAGGTCAAGTGTTCGAGTGACAGTTTTGGGTAATAAGCGTTTAACGATTTTATGTAAAATTTACTTTAGTGCTTTAAAGATATTATCTGATTTATAAATTTGCAATATATAGTAGTTTCTAAAATATGTACCAAAAGTAATTTACTAACATATTAAAAAAATGTATCTAGAAAATATAACAGAAATTCGTAAAGATGTCGATACATTGAAAGTGGATGTAGCTGAGATACAGCAAGAGTTGCAAGATCTTAACGAAAAACTTGCACGTGCGTCTGTTAACGAGTTTTTCATACTTCACTTATATCATTCATTTTAATACATATTATTCATTATTCATTTTATTATTAATATTATTTTTATAAATTAATTTGTGAAATAATATATATGTATTATGTAGAAAGTGGAATACTCACGAAAGTTGATGTTGATGTACTAGAGGTGCGAGATAGACCTGCTGTTACAGAAGTGACTAAAGATAAAAAAACAATAGTTGAAGCGAATGACAAAGCTTTGAGCGATATTACCCAACGCGTGATTGCATTAGAGAAAGATATTGACCATTTGTCAGAAAAAGTGGAAGTTATTCGAGCAGCTGAGAGAGCAGATGACATCGATATAAATGTACTTGTTGAGAAAATACAAGGAATTGAAATGGATATGGGGAGAATCGGAGAAACGATGGACAGACTGTTAGATGACAAGGAGAAAAAAGAAACGCACATTAATGTACGAGTTTTTAATTAAAAAAAATTAATCAACATATTATTCATTTTTTATATCAAACAGTAATAAATTCTAGATTAATTTATAAAAAAAATTGCTTCCTTGTATTTTATATAATTTATTCGAGTGATTGTATTTACGAAGATTACTTTTATGCTGATAGACGTTGCTGGAACAAATAGAACTTCTAAAAACCATCAAAGCAGATAAAGAAGATATCGAAGATGCTTTGGCTGACAAAGCAGATGCTCAAGCCGTTAACAGAAAGGTATAAATAAGGAACATCACAAATCCGTTGAACCATCTCTGATACAGATTGAAACACCATAAAAATCACTGTAGGTATCATACGATCAATTCGACGCAACCTGTGATGATCTCTCACGTGGTCTCGAAGAGGCGATCGATAAACTGACTAAGCAAGAAGCGATTTGGCAACAAACGCTCGACGAGATGCAGAACGAAATTGCGGCAAAAGTGGATAAAATCGAGATGACACCGTTGAAGGACTTTGTGACTAATAAATTGAAGTCGCTTCAAGAAAAGCTGAAAATTATGGCTGAGGCGAGGCGCGAGATAGAGGCAGCTGGAACGAAGAAGTTACTCAGGTGAATATTTCAAGCTCGCAGATGAGATTTTAACGCGTCTACGATATCAATCTCTTGCTTCTTTGCTTAGAGATGTTCAGTGTATATCGTGCGACAAGGACGTCGTGATGAAAACGGAGGAAGCTGCCAGATTTCGTGCTGAACCATTGCCTTGCACTATCAGTATGAAACCCTATCTCACATACAAGTTGGATCAAGTTAGGAAGCAGCAGAAAAAATTGCCTCACAGCAGAAATATGATCCAATTTGAAGCGGCAATGCAGGAAGAAGCCAAGAAAATAAAAGCAAAGGAAAAATTACTCGCGAAGACTCCCAGGTAACTGATAATAGCATTCCCAGCAATAGTATTGTGATCGATCTTGAAATCTCGAAAAAATATAACATGAACATATATCGAAAACTAAATAATATCATAAAGATATTGATAAATATATTATAATATTTAAAATATATTTAATTATATTGTTTAAAACTTTCATGAATTTTCTCCCAATTACAATATTGTTAAACCTAATAATTCTTAGAAGAACTTTTAATTCTTTTAAATAGCGTATCACGCTAAGTCTTATTGTCTTAAATTTAATGTGTATTTAGAGATCATCTTTGTAATCGATATTGCGGCGGGAGTCACACAGTCGTGACTCCTCGACAAAAAGTTATGCGGGTAGAACATTTCTTGACCCAATGGGGACCCCAGACGATACAATTAACAGACGGTTTGATAAAGGGGAAAGACGGTAAGATGTATCGTAGCCGATTAATGCCGGATAAGCTGGACGTCTGCGAGCCAGCTTGCTGGGAGAGTCAAATTAGCGAGGAAACTCGATTTGCGGTGAGTTTCAATAGAAAATGTCATTATAGACAATTTAAGTATTTGTTTCGCCCATGAAATATATTTATTATTGTTCCACCCTCATATATTTCACAGGAACGTGCGCCATCTTCTTCGACGTCGTTTTGTAAATCTTCTTCAATTCAACGAAATAACACTGGAAATGGTGAGCGAATAATACAATGTTTTGTATTCAGAGAATCAGTCATTATTTGACAGGAAAACTGCCGTATAATTAAATCAAATCAAATATGTCAAAAATGTACTTATATAATTATTACAATTATTATTGTTATGCGATACGTGTGATAATTAGTAAGTTGCATGATACATTTTCCATATTCTTTTCTATTGTAAGTTATGGAAAAACGTAACGCAAGAAAACCATCGAAGGAACCGAGGATATTGGAATTGGCGGAGAAATCGGTATATCATACTCATTTCAATTACTGAAAATATCGAAATATAAGCTCTCCATATTTACGCTTCCGTAATTACGTTTAAATTGGCACAGATTGTAGAAGCGAGCCAAATGACACCGCCACAAAAAAATGTTGACGAACACCCGTTATTTATCCCAGCTGGACCTCAGGATGAGATCGTGCTTTACGAAAGTAACGAAGCGATAGAGGGAAAATAAATTAAATGATAGTATATACTTATTAGAGCAAAAAAAATTGTTTAACTTCCATATATAAATCTAATTTACATTAATATTTTTTAGATGCTCTTTTTGAAATGATACGGATTATATAATTTTGTAAAATCTTTCACATAAAATTTTTTTATTCTCTCATGTAAAAAGATTATTTTTTTCTTAGGATCGTATAAGAGCGCGAAAAAGTATAGAACTTCTACAAAAGTAGAAACAATTGACATGTGTGATGCCAAATTGGAGTTATTACGTTTTTGTTTTATTATTAATTAAGAGAAATTTCCAGAGTATACAAGACTATCTAATAAAGTCGATTTGGAACATTCGTGATCTGCTTGTTGGAACAAAAATATTGGCTCGCGTACTTTACGAATGTACAGTCCTGTGAGACCGTGTCAGAATATTGCACATCGCCGTCCGAGATCCGTTTACGTTAAAGGGCGTAAACAGTACTCAAGGTATTCATTGGACTCACTCCGCATTGCTCGATCTTAACATTACGTACCCTACAAACGATATTATGTGCTAATATCTTTTTTATAATAATAATATATATATATATATTTATATATATATATATTTATATATATATACTATATGTATATGGTATGATCTAAATGCTACTTCATACAAATTTGAAGGTACAGGAAGTATCTACAAGTTAGTGTCTACCATATAATTTACGTACTATATCTCTCGATAAGTAGTAATCTACGTTTTTACGGATTCTCTAGAATTACAATACCATAGAACTACAGAGCTCTATGATTTCGCGATTAAATCAACGGCGTACAGAAACCTCATCGTTATCATCATACCCAATGCAATGAATATAATGATGAAATAAATATATAGATTATAGTTTCTCAATGTATCAATTGCAGGACTATGGGGACAATAATAATGTCTTAAACGTTAACATGGATATGCATTATCGATTACAGTTAATAATACTGGCAGCTTAAAATACGTACGAATTACACTCAACTTAATCGGACGCGAAAGTAGAGAGTGCCTCGTGCATAATTCATTTATATTTCGATTTGAATTTAAAATATTACTTTTCTTAATTAGGAAACTAATAAAATCGTTTTTAACAAGATATCACGAGAGAATTGTCAAACGATTGAAAGAGAGTATCAACTATTCTGGCACACGATGCTGGCACTCGCTACCGATCGTCGTATAAGTTCCCTACGTCACTATTTAATATTAAGCAAAAAACTCCTTCTTGCCATCGCAATAGCTAACTTAAATTCGTTCACAACCACTGCGAATCGAATTCTTAATCCGAAAAATTATTGTGACACCACGGACGTCTCATCATCGCGCCTGACCGACGCGTCGTTGCTGGCTACGTAAATTACACAATAGCAAGTTTAATTTATTTATTATCGGACAAGGGAAATTAAGGTAAAAGATCACAGGTAAAACTAGGCTATCTCTGTAACAAATTAATATCACATGAAAAAATATGTATCGGTTGCATTCTATCGCAAAACTCTCCCGCGAATGTGTCGCTATATAGGGACTGTCGGACGGATGACTCGGATGACGAGTCACCGATGATTCAGATTGGTTGACTTCAATCATCTCTTCTCTCTCTCTCTCTCTCTCTCTCTCTCTCTATTCTCGTCGCATTCATTATCGACGCTCGCGTCTTTTTGCAGAAAAGCGCGTTATATATCTCCTTCGTCATTTTTTAATTTTTTTTTTTTTTTTTTTTTTTTACGACATTACACAAAACCCTCGCCAAAACAGCGATTGTTTCATCCAAAACTCGCAATAATTGCCGATTCAAATTTCTTGTAAATTATTTTTATATATGCTCGCTTAATAATCTAAACCTAAATCTAAACTTAATTACTTATCAATGACGATGGACAACTAAACCCTGACTAAACGATTATGATTAGAAGTAAAGTTTGGCATCTCTTCGCGCTTGCTTCGCGCCCGTCCAGCTTTTCTTCGCCTTTTTTTAGTGGATATTAGGATTATTTTTATTGTAGCTCAATGCCATGTCGGGTCATTACTATTCTCGTTACATTTCTCTCTCGTTAAACCTAGTACGTACAATACCTCCCGTTCTCTTTCTTACTTAAATTACCGTTTCGTAAAGCAGCGTTTCTGATCCCATCGAAATAGTTTCTTTCGTAAAATCCGCGTGATCGCGGACTCGAGGAACAACCTTTATAACGAATTGGCAAACTCATTAGCCGGGTAATAATGCGTTTTTACGTATACTTTTTCGAATCGTTATCCCTCGTGAAATTTATTGCGAGCAATTACCACTGCGAATAATAATTTGTATCTGTTTGAGATAAAATCGCTCCTCGAGTTCTTCCATTACGATGCTTCTGATATCGCAACGATCGTCTGTACGCCATATTACGATGCATGCGTCTGCTTATGAGGTAGGTTTACGCGATGTTTTCGAGGAAGACGAAGCATGTTTACCGATCTTTACGTTTTCAAATATTCGGATACGTAGTCGTCCTTATCGATTCTAATTCTATTGTGCAATGGAAGCTTTGGACTCGAGCGTAGAAATTAAATTGTTATCGAAAAGACGATGGTATATTAACGTTATGAGAAAGTTTCCTTTCACTCGGAGCGGAACCTGAGATTCTTCATGCATACTTTAAACATCGGTTTCTCTCGCTACAAATTGCACGAACCCGGACGTTCTCGCCTGATCGATCGTACTGTGTACCGTTAAGTAGCTTCCCTCAGTCACTGTTTATACTTTTGTACTGTATTCGTACTTTCCCCTGTAACATTTTATGACGGAACGGTATCTCCCGTCGATGCCATTATTGTCCATTATCTCTGACGTTCTTCGTGCGGAATTCGATTCGTTCAACCGAAATACGAAATTGATACGGAGAAATCTCGGAGGAAGTCACTCACGTATCATTCGTGAACAGTTCGGAAGACTCTCGGAGAATCGCACGGAGAAACAATATATTCTCCGACATTCCGTATCTTTGCTGTATCAAGCTCGTTCATTGCCAAACCGCGCGCTTCGGCGGGAAAAAAAGCAGATTATCAAAAAGAGGTACAGCACCTTAAATGGCGCTACGATAGATGCGCTACAAAAGCTGAACTATAACCGGATGCAAGAGACACATGTGCTCGGCACCGCGTATCGGAAGACGATTCACGCTAAAATGACGGACCATTTCCGGTATGTTCTCGAACGGTTTGCTAAACTGTCCCAGGATGTAAGCGTTTAATTCCTCATTCTTTTGGATGCGCATATGCATGAAACCGCGAGCGCTCCTGAAAAGAAACAGTAAAGTAATTAGAAAAGCCGGTCATGGAAAAATTCGCCAATTATCAAATATATTAAAATGTTAATTTACGCTTACTTCAAAGACAGAGAATAATCCTGCTTGGTCGATTCGCTGTTCCTCACCAGATAACTTCCTTCCTGATGAACTCGCAAGAGACCTTCCGCCTCGATGCGCGTGATGGAGCCGTGATACCACCTAAATAACAAATCTCCAATTATATATATGATTATCGTAAATTAACGCGAATTAATTAGCAAGGTTTCACGAGAAGTGCCACAAAATTCAAAGATAAAGTACGGTCGCACAAGAGAGAGAACTAGAGCGTGCAACCTTGAAACTAGTTAACGAGCTCATTAGCGATTCTCGAGCCAAGAGATAATATTACCGCACGTCGAGATTGAAAAAATTGCGACGAGAAGCGACCGATTAGTCTCGGTATACCAACCCTTGTCTCTCCAACGGAAGCTCCACGTCCACCAGATCAGCTGATATCCGTGCGGTACTGATCTCCAGCGGTAAGCCGAGGCTCAAGCCAGGTTTCTTCGGCGCCAATAAACCGCCGCCCGGAATTCCGCAGCTCGTCCCCGCCGCATTCCCACCGGCATCCAGATTCAGAGTCATCTTCGGGCGCGACAGACCGCCGCCTGAAATGAGTCACCCGACAGTTAGACGCATCGTGGTGCTCCCACCCAGTAAACACCGATGATATACCGGCATGTATAGAGTTGCCGGCAATCTCTCTTTCGTCCTGCCTCTCTCTCTCTCTCTTTTGTACACAGCGGGGTTTAGCTGTCTCTCAATAATTATTGCCACAAATCAGAACTTGGCTACGCCGAATAACGGGTAGATTAAGCTGCGTCATCTATCGGAAAGTGTTATGGGGCTGTTGACATTTTATTATTCCTCTTATCTACCCTTGCTTAAGATAATGTGGTTGAGATCAGAAATTAAAACACAATGCGATACTTCAGCATCAAATAATACTTGATATCATATAAATAATGACAACGAAATAAATATTTTTAATATTATGAAGATAATATCGTTATTGTTAACTTACGTAATGTAATATATTTTGAAAAAGTTAACAACAAAAATTGCTTTTTCTAAGATAGATTTTACGGGGACTATTTAAAAATGATGAATTATTCTGTCCTATAAAGCGTTTATTTTTATCCAATTTTTCACAGTTGATACTTTTTCCTGTTATAATAGCAATGCGTCGAGGGCTCTTCGAAAACAATAATAATCGACGAAGGACACTTCGCAAGGAAGTACGGTGGTAGGGCGCTAATTTCATTTGTTGGCGCAATCTCTTAGCGGTTGACTTGTCGGACGCGCTACATGATGCAGGTACAATAAAATTGCTCTGACAGGTGTAACGTCGGGTTAGCCTCTTTTGTGGCTTAACATGTCCGGAGGGCACGCCGAAGTGCTCTCGTCTGACGCATATGCAGATATATAGGATGTCTCAACACAACCGGGTAAATTAAAAAAGCGTCTGAAGAGTTACGGAATTATTCGACATTAAACATTTTCGACAATTTGCGAGTAGAAAAAAATACAATTTATTTTATATATAATTTTTACTCACGCACAATTCTACTTTTATAAAAATTTTATTCAAGTCTTACAATTACGTGCTGTAATATTTAATATAAAAAATATGTCCGACAAGTAATTATTTGTAACAAACTGTTAACTGAAGACAAAAGGCGAAGTTGAATTCGTGTAACTTGCGATTGAAAGGATACCTGCTTCTGGAGCATCCTGTACACGCACATCAAATTACGAAAGGCAAAAGGAAGACCCGCAAAACCGTGTGGCTATCTCTCACGCGCCATTTCTATTCAATTCCTCTTTGCGAAACACAGGTTTCGGAAATGGTTAAACATTAACGGCGGCGAACGGCTAGCGTTACTCGACGAGATTGCGTGCGTCTGTATTATTAAATTCAATCTGGCGATCGGCCGAGCAGATTTATCCTCTCGATGTTTCCCTCCTTTTTCTCGAGCCACGACAACGCGGTGTAAACGGTTCTTCCTCTCAACTTCTTTGTCTTTGCCAAAATCTTCCTCTCGCTCGTTCTTTGTACATCACCCAACCCAGCAGGTAATCTCACGTCCTGACACTCGTATCCTCATTCTCTCCCTCAGACTGTTTTAATATCCGTCTCTGACGGAGATACGTCTCAATCAATTTCTTCGCGGACTTCCCGACTGTCGCGCATTCCCGCGGGAAATGGGGAGACGCCGAGACGTCTCTGTACCGGATCTTACGTAGGCACGAGTCACAGGAACACGAGTAAACTCCTTCGTGGTGTACGAGCTTTGGAGAAAGAGAAAGATGTTTTGCGTGTGGCGATAGAGAGTCAGAGAAGAGAAATAACGTGAGAGAAGGCGAAAAATATTCCTTCGACGCGAGACACGCAACACTTCGAGGCGACACCGCAGACACGTCTCCGGGGAAATTCGTGGTCACGAACGAAGGCTCCGAAGCTGCAGTGGGACGGAGGACGCACGGGAAATCTCGCAGGCTTCCAGCGCGAACGCGTGCTGTCGTATTATCACGGATGGCAAAACGCAAACTTTTAATTCTCTCCAAAAATCAGGACACATTGACGACACGTTCCGCCGGATATCGACGAGTCGAGGCGGCGCGGCGTTCCTCGAGATGACTCCGGGAAGTCGAGCAATCCCCGTGCCAGCGATTGTATTTATTGCCGGCCGAAGGAGATGGAGGGTGGAACCCGCCGTAGAGATTTACGGCACCGCTAAATTTACGGCCTCGGGGAGCCGGCATGTCAAACTCGCCTGGAAAGGAGTCAATGGCGATTCCATTGAGTGGCAAGACGCTATTAAATGAAGGATGACACCTTATGACGGAGCGGCAGCCACTGTGGCTTTCACGAGGAGAACTTTGCCGAGCTCTAAATGCTGGGAAAGAGCACATAATGGAAACGGAGTAAAACTTGCGATCTCGATAAATCGTCGAAACCGATCGCGTTTACAATCAGCGGAACCTTCATCCTATAAATGCAAAGATATTCCCGTCGAAACTTGGAAAGTTTCGGAAACTCTCGCGCATGAATTGACCGCGGATGGAGGAGATCTCGAGAGTTGCCGAGTCACGATGATTTCGCAATCCCGAAGAACTCGCTACGTCTCTTGGCTTATATCGCATCGTTACGCGTTTCTCTCCCCCAAAGAAATTTCGCAATGGTGCCGAAATATCCGAACAACAGATGTGAGATGCCGTTGTCTGGATGGATCTAGGAAATATCCGCCGACAGATGTTGCAGTTACACGCCCTTGAGCTCTTCCATCCCCCTATCGACGAGCCCTTATCGACACGGTGGCAAACACTTCGAACCTGCTCGGAATGGTTGATACATCCGCGATCCTCATGAAATATGAAGTACGATAGACGCATATCAGACGTTTCCATCAGACGATTCCGATGATTTTTCTCGCACAATTTGTCCGAGGATCACCGACATTTCGGTCTATGTTACTGCCTGTAACATTCATTATTTACGAAATAACTCGTTCTGGAAGGCTCATTTTTTATCTACGTATATGTATTACCGCCAGGAAACAAGTTGTAAACCGACTGACAGTGACCGATTTTATATATTTATGATACTAAAATTGTTTAACAAGTTATTTAATATTGATTATTTTATATTATTCGTTATTATTATCACTGCCACATTTGACGACAATATATTGCAAAATTAAATTAATTAAATTGCCAATTACGTGAAGTAATTAATGTTTTAATCGGTGAACGTAATTATTAAGTTCGTTGGAGGACTCGCCAGTAGAAAAGCCGAGAAATGGTCAGACGAATACCGGTTCGACTCGCTCCGGTATTTTGGATCGTTACCAAATGAATAACAGCAGACAGTGTGCGACGTGTCGCTCCTGTGACATCAGGCAAACGGTACGTGGCTAGATTTTTCAAGGATTTGGGATAAAACTGCGTTTACTTTGCAGTCGGGACTTTATCTTCGCATGAAGTTAAGTGTACATACTACGAGCGTTGTCTGCATTCGTGACAAAATCCTCTCGTCGAGCAAGAATTTAGAAACAGAACGCACAGTGACTTTGTAAGCTCCTTTAAAATTCACGAACTGTAAAAATTCGTTGAGAACAGAGAGGGAAAACTGGTTAAAAAACTTGCATTCGCAAAAAACTAGAGAAATTAAAATTTGCTGAGCTTCTACGACGTTTTAATTTTGCTTCGTTAGCGAACGCAGCGCAATTGCAAGTGACATAATTTGCAATTATTCAATTTTACATAATTACGTAAATGTAATAATAATAATAAACAATTCAAGCACGTACAGTGTCCCCTCATTGTTTAACGAACTATAAAAATTCTAAGCACATTGTGTTACATTTACAAGACTAATTCTACCACCGAAACCAGATGATATAACAGCTTTAAATATTAAAATGCGACCACTCGTGTAATAATTTGGCCAATTACCAAATGACCGAGTGCGCGATGTTGACTAAACCGTACGTGATTTGTGTGTATGAAGAGGTACACATATAACAAAATTGCGGATTCTTCCATGCCGGGGAACGAAGTAAACAGGACAGTGCGACGAAAATGGGGCCATGGCAAACTATCGAATGGAAATGTATGCAGAATCGTAAATATCTACTTCGCAATTCACATATTTTACTATTTTACTTACATACAGATAAAATTCATTCTGTTGTGAATTTTTAATAGAATCAAACGCATTTTACGATAACCACAGAATAATAAAATGAAGAAAATGTGTGTATATATTGAAGTATATTCTTTGCTGCGAGAAGATAAAAATTCTTCAAAAAATACGTTTTATGATCTTTTTATATAACTAAATCAGATATGTAATCTCTTCTCTCTTTGAGATATTACATCTTCTTTTCTTTTTCTTTTCTTTTCGAGTACTTATCTTTAAGCGACACAAATAAGCTACTTCAAACAAAATACAAAATACAAATACATTTTTTATGTGATAATAAAACCGGAAACAACCGGAAAGAATTATCGAATCTTGTGTATACATATATTTTTTTTCTTTTGCAGTTAGCCAAATCTTTCTTCGTTTAGCCACTGAAGTGAACCGAGCCAGATATCACCACATCGATGCACTTTTTTGCTTCCCTCCTCCCTTTTCTACAGCTCGTTAACGATCGCCATCAGTTAGAAGAGTTCACATTCACCAGCACCAGTAAATGGCTTATGCGCAAGACAGATCTGCTCGTCGTGATTGCGAGTGTAAATTTTTTTCGACGTCGAGAATCGCAAACGTTCTAACGTAATATTCGTACGTGTCTCGTACGAACGTTGAATGTATTCATCGTTCGTGGGATACGTGAGCAAGAGTCGCGATGAAGCTACTCTCATTTTTCGCTCGATTTTCCGCAAGAGACGACAGTTTATCTCTCGAATCTTTATATTTGATTTGTGTTTCGGCAGATTCGATAATGCCGTTTCACGACGAAAGAGAGTCGTTTCGACGATGATGTTTTAAAGAGATGATCGGAAAGGGGACAGTGCAAACTTGTCGCAAGTAGGGCGTAATATTTCCAATACTTTCAATACGCTCTCGCCTGTTATCTTCCTCGTGACACGTGCACTCTCATACAGCGACGACCCGTGATACGGGCACATGAACCTCCGTGTGGGAAGCGGAATAAAGCGGCTTTACGTTCCATCCTTCGTTCACATCTCTGGCACATTGTGAACCGACACAAGCCAATGCCTTTTATCTAAGAGGACAATGCGCGAACTCTTCTTCCTTCGATAGTTGGCCGCCCCAGATGGTTGTCGTCACCAAAACGTAAAGAAGATGCACCGAAGAAAAAATCAACTCTTATGGTTAGACTCGCTGTTTCCGGCCGTTGCGTCATCCATCCATCGTCTTAGGTAAAGACATTCAACGTTCAGAGGAAGAAAAGAAGATAAATATAATTTGATAATTTTACAAGGTAAAATTTAAGATAAGAATTTTTTGATCCTATTGAGATAATTATTAATGAAAAAGACAACGCAACAAACAGTTTATTTAATTATCACAAAAAATAAATAAGCTCAACTAAACTATCATTGATAATTATCATTGATTATATAATTATTATACGAAAATGTTTGTACGTAAAAACGAGTAAAAAATTGTATCGCCTCATCGGTCAAGATGACTTATCGTGATCGATAACCTATTCGCGACCTAATCGAACCAATAAGACGATCTATGTGCGATAATAGAAAGAAACCGATCGATCACTTTCCTCCAACCCCTAAAAAAGTAATTGTCGACAACTGGACGCAAAAGAAGTATATCTTGGAGAAAATCTGGTTCTGATCACGTGCTAACGCGCTCTACATCTCATTGCCTCGCGTCGCCCTTTTTCTCTGTGTGCTCTCCCTCCTCAAAAAGTAATTTACGAATCCGAACCGGCCGACATCCATCAACCGGAAAAAGTATTACGGATCTCGATCTCTCACACTCGCAGCTAAACTGCTGAATAGAGATGCGGAACGTATCACGTAGAAGAGAATGAGTTCTGCATCATTTACGAAATGACACGTGTACTGTAGAATTTTCTTATTTTAGAATTAAATAACACACTTTAATTTCGCAGATTTATTTATGCGCATAATTCCGTATTCATCAAATTTTACAAAAATTTCTCAGCATACGAGCATATTTTATGATTACACGTTGCACGAGCTGGTACACAGTTTTTTTGTCGTTGTTATTAAAGCATTTCGCGTAGAGTTATCCGGGTAGTGTCGAGAGTTTTTATTGTCTCCCATATATTCAGCGACGAAAAATGCATCATCGCGTGAAATGTTCGGTCAATCGCGATTGAAATAGTTGGTACATATACGATATATACGAGGACGCAGTGCGACAACTGCATTTTCGTTATCTAGCAAAACGGAAACGACCGGCGCGACATTCGTAAACGTATATGCATATGTGACATTCACGTACATATATGTATTCGCTCGCGCGTTGATTAAACTTGGTGTAGGCGACGGGGTTATTTATTCATATTTTCGACGTACGTGATAGTTGTTCAAAGAACGGTTGTAACTGAGTGACGTGACTGGCTTTTTATCAGCAAAATCGAATGCTTTTACATTACGTTTTCACTGAACGTGTTTCATCGGATAAATGTACGCATATTCGTATTGAACAAACAGGAGAGAGATTTGATTCCACGAAAGATCAAATTAGCTTATGCTGTGTAATTTGCATTTTATTTGATTTAATGTATTTCTCATATTTATAAATATCTCAAATATATATTTTTTATACGCGGTTGCGTATAATAGCGCGAGAAGAATTAATAATAATTTATCATATGATTACAACAAAGTGCAATAAAGGTACGACGAAGCTGGCAAAGTGATAATCGTCGCGCATTAAATCACTCGGCCAGCGACATCGTGCTTTAGAGCCCGAGGCCGTAATTGATTAAATAAATCCGCGTCGGCGTATCTCACGATGCCGGGGAATCACTCGTCGTCGGAAACGCGTCGTACATTTTCCCCGGGCAGAAAAAGGAACACTTTCTAAGGACCTATAACTTTTAGCAAAACGGATTTACCGAGCATTTCGTGCCGTTATTGACATTCGAGAGGCCGACGATAAAAATAGTTGCTCGCTTTCCTATCTCTCTCTCTCTCTGTCTCATCTATCTCCCTTTGCCTTTCTCTGTCGCCTACATGTTACACCCAGTGCTTCTTCGCTTCTCTACCTCAACCTAGCTCCATACATCAGCGCACGTGAACCCAAGCCTAACCTTCGTGTACTCTCTGTGTAACATTTACCCCTGCAACTGTCGGCCGTAGGCGCGAGAGAGCTTGTTCCCGAAGCTCCTGCATTAGAGCTCTCGCAATTTGGAAACTCGGAGGGTAAACGACGCGCGTTCAAAGTCCCATCAGGACGGACGATAGAGCTTCGGGGGATAACTGGGAAGAGAATACCCGATGCGCGGCAGCGACGCTGGCTTAATCACCTGACTAATTCTGAAACGTTACACGATGCATTGCATGGCTCGCATCGGGCCAGATTCACTGCTCGCTGGCGATAAATTATTGATATTGTATAACTCGTATTATTAATACGATTTAAATTACACCGTTGCCAGCTACTTCGATACCACTTGATAAATTATATACTTGCTATGAATTGGCTGTTTCTCCTCGTTCACGAATTATAATTGTTTATCATAGCTTACAATTCATAATATGTTGCAACGATATAAAACGGTTTTATTATCATGTTTTAATATAGTTGGGTCATTTAGTTAAATTATAATTTATATTTTTAATTACACGCTGCAGTAGATAAATATATTATTGCGTAATATGTGTAATAATATAATGATAATGGAATAATAAATTATATATATGTATTATATATAAATGTGTGTGTGTGTCTGTGCGTGTAATAGTGCATAGATATATCGTTTTTTAAGGGATAAATATATAAATGATCGTATCAACATATATGTATGACTGTCAAAAAGGCGTGTATTTGTAGTAAATATCTAATCGCTGAGAGCAGCTAAGTGAAACTTAACGACGTTAGCTGTTGTCTGGAAGGTTCACAACGATCAGCATTAAATTACAGTAGCCCCTGTGGCCCTGATGAGTACTTAATTTACCTCGAGGTGCCGAAAGTACCGTTTTTATCGATTTAATGGCTAGACGCTCGATTAAGAAGAAAGGTAACCCGGATCCTCCCTTCGAAGGCTGATTCCCCATTTACGTTAATAGCATTCAAAAAAATTTTATATAAAATTCGATTTATTCAAAAAAGATGTATTTATGTATTAAAATATTGTATATAAAAATATGTAACATTTTTATTTCTAAAAATACGAAATAGTACACAAGCGAATGAAAACTCACCAAATAAAGGAGATGGCTCCATATCGCGTACCGAAAGACTGGACGACGCCTGAGACGCGCTGGATTCGATGCTCTGAGTACATCTGAGGCGTTTCCTGAGTTTCGGCATGTCGAAAGGCAGATCTCTCAAGTCGACACTGGTCGCGCTTCCGGATGTAGTAGCGTCCTGTTGCATTAGCAGTCGTCTCCTACGAAGCTTCGGCATGTCGAAGGGTAAATCCGACAGTTCCGGCTCGTTGTCGACGAAATTGATATTGTCTAGCTGCGGCTTCAGCAAGTGGAAGCCAAAGGTTTACACTTGATGCCCGCGCGGGACTCGATGGAAATCCCGCTGTCCGATCCTTGAATCTCCGCATCGCCCGACGACGACGACTGTAGTGCCAGATTAATGAGATTCTTGTTCTGCGGTGTTCGTCGCTTCTTGAAGGACGTGTCCATAGGCGAGGTGACCGCGTTCGTGTTGTTACCCGCGGTGACGTTATTCTCCGTGATGACGTTCTCCTCAGGCGAGGCCTTCTGCGAATTGTTATTACGATTGTTGTCGGAAGTCTCCGAGGCCGGCTCTTGCGACGATTTGTCGGAGATCGGCGAGAGAATGTGCAACTTGGTGGCGTGATGAGTCAGGAAGCCCGATAGGGACGATGGATGTTGGTGATGGAAGCAGTTGCTGCCGCTATCCGAGCTGTGGGAACTCAAAGACCTGGTGCTGTGTCGACTGTCGGAGCTGCTGGTGGAGCGGTTGCCCTCGCTGGTGCTACTCCTGATGGATTCCATGCTACCACCGCTACTGCTGGTCGCCATACTCTCAGTACTGGAGTAGCCGACCCGACGTCGCGGAGTGCGCAGCTTGAACTCTAAGAGACCGGCTTCTCGTCGCGCCGGTCTCGCGAGATCGCTCTCCGCTTCGTGAGGCCTGCCCTTGAACTCCATTATCGGCCTGTTCTCGCGAATCAGACTGCGCGGCCGTTGCCGCTCCTCCCGGGGCCTGTCTTTGAACTCCAAAATCAGTTCCTTGTCGAATCGACGACTCTGCGAGGAGTCGATGTTCTCCTGAACGAAGGTCTTCGGCCGACTCTTGATCTCGAGAATGCTGCCCTCGCTGCTCTGCGGCGAATCCTTGGCGCGCAATGACTTCACCGGCAGCCTCATGTCCTTCAAACGAGGATAGTCAGGCTGCGAGGGGAGATTCGGCGCGCTGCGAATGTTCAGCAGCAAGTGATCTCGGTTCCCGTGAAATTTCGCGGGTAGAGGCGCGGTCGATGGTGGCGATGGCGTATAATCGCGAGCGGGTAATCTCGGCGATCCCGTTTTCTCATCGCTCGAATTTATTTGGAGGGACTCGATATCCTGGGACAGAGTGGATATATTGTCTGATTGCTGTTGCTGTTGTTGTTGCTGTTGCTGCTGCTGCTGCTGCTGCAAGCGGCTCGGAATCGGTTTTGGGCGGAGAAGTACGACTTTGCGTCGATGGTCCTTGCTTGATTGCGACTGGCCGGCGTAAGGAGGTGGCTGCGCATGTTGCTGTTTCGATGTGTCTGTTGACGAACTCGTTCTGCTCACGAGCGCGGCACTGCTGCTCCGCATCTGCGTTTTATCCACAAATTTTATTTTCACAAAAATAATTACGACACACTTGTACGATTTACTCGTGTTGAAGACAAAGCGAATTTAAGGGAATTCTAAACGTTCTTGAGAAGTCTGTTGTTTTTTATCGACAAAATGTGAGGCTAGATAAACTATAAATCTATTTAATGGCCATACGGGTGATTTTTTATCTGAAATTAGAGCGCTTCGCCCTTTGTTAATATTAACACTTAAATTTGTACAGGAAAATGATTCATCAATCTGTATAATCTCATATATCTTGATTACAAAATTATGAATTCTAAGCATTCATAATTCCGTAATCAAGATATATGAGACTATACAAATTGATCAATCTTTTTCTTAAAATTTCTCAAGGACGTTTAGGATCCTCTTAATGGAATATCGTATGAAAAAAATTAAAAACTCATATCTATAATTTATCTTTATAATATTTATAATTAAATATAAAATTTCGAAATAATATTCGAGACATTTAAACGATAGCTCAAAGTTATACGTACTTGAGAGTGCAGCACCGCATGGTTGGTTATGCGATCGAGATCATCGAGATCATCGTCGGATCGATTGACCTTGCAATCGAAGGCCGTTTCGTAAAGGTGACGTTGCCTGGCCATCCCTTCCTCGTCCTCGTCCTCGAGCTCCGCGTCCTCTTCCTCTTCCCCCTCGTCTTCACCCTCCACGTCGTCTTCGTCCTCGACGAGGATCGGTTGCGGATCTATCCTCCGTGTACGTCGTAATTTGCGCACCTGATGCCGCGTCACTTGCGGCTGCCGTCGTTCTAACTCATCCTCCTCTTCCTCGGGCGATGCGACGCACGTGCAAACGGCGGTGGGCAAATCATGGCTCAACAGTCTATGAGGTGGCATGAGGGTGTGATCCCACTCGGTGATGATACACGACGAGAGGATCTCGCCTCTGGCTGGGACAGCATGCTCGTTCCCCGAGGTGGGGCTCACCAGGTCCTGGCTTCGATAATGCGGCGGTGGCGGCGGCGGCGGCGGTTGCTGCTGTTGCTGATAATGCCGTGGTTGCGTCGCGTAAGAACCGCCATCACCCGCTACCGAGTTCCTCTTCGGTATACCGGGTGTGCGGGAACGCTCGCCCGGTACATCGAGGCTGACGCTTTTCCGATACTTGTTCGGCTGCGACTTGGCCACCTGCTCCGGGACCTTGAAGAGATCGCCGTAGTAATACGGCGACGGATGACGCACCGGTTGGGGTTCGGTCGGGGATTGGTCAGCGAGATGTACTAGAGCGACGCAGTCGATGAGCAGGCCATCGGTCGACGTTAAAGTATCTCGATCCGCCGATGGAGCGCGAGTCGAGGAGGTAGCGTAGATGCTGTTCTTCCGCTTTCTGACGCTGACGAGCCGTCTCTCCTCGTCGTCCTCGCAGGATGAGCCGGATGCCGACGGATCTAGAAAAATTGAGCGAAAAATCGTCCATGTAATTAACATCAGCAATTATTATAATTATAAGAATATTTTTAAGTCAGCTCCTTAATTTTTGAAACCACAATCTACACTTCATTCCTCTCGATCAATAGAGCCAAACGCGATGTTATTGTGACAATTAAGAAAGAAAGAACATTTGGAAACTAAGGAATTTGAATCCTATGGTTGGGATCTCAGAAATTCCCCTTGTTCCTTCTCTTAACATCCCCTGTAAAGAAATAGGCGAGAAAAATATTGGTCCGAAAGTCGGCTGAATTGGGAAACGAATTATTATAATTATTTTTTTTTTATTTACAGAAATATGCTAATAATTCTTAGGTCACACGTTATATGTAAAAAGATCTTGACTTTGAAATCTTATCACGTGACAGGAATTTATCGGTCGTAAGCACGAAATCCAAGAGATTTACGCGTAAAAAGATGTCCTGACCATACAAAGCCCACTTTCACCGCAGACGAGAAGCCCGAAAACGGCGCGAAATTTTCATAATCGTTCCGTTGTAGGGGAAGGAACCTGGGTCGTCGAAGAAAGAGAACGAAAAAGCTCACGGGGAAAGCAAAATTGCCTTGAAATGGCTGCCCCGTCTCCTTAAAAATCACTTCCTCCGTCCTTGGGATATTACCGTAATGGTTCCTGGCCTTCTTGCTCGACGTATCCTATCATTCTCCGTCCTCGCGACCAAGCCACCCCTTTCGTCCTCTTTGTATTCGTTCTCGTCGTCTCGTTCGAGCATCGTCTAATGCCTCTTTAGGCTTTACGATCTTGTCATGGCCATTCGCGACAGCGAGGAGAAGAAGGAGAAGGAGAAGAGATCGAGCAAATGGAGGAGGCGCGAAATTACGCCGACACCCGGTACATTATATAAGCAGTGTACACACGCGGGATAGACGAAAGGACTGAAGATAATGGGCGCATTATGCTCGACCGGAGAGGGTCCCGTCGAAATCCTTCCTTGTTCCATCCCTTTGGGAGGGCGCGCCGTAAACCATGTTGGTTGCTGCTTTTGACAGGCACACCGTCGCGGATATATATGAACAAACTTGCCGAACGGGAGAAAAAAATGATTATCGAAGATCGCTATGGTTCGTCGCGCCGTTCAGCTAGTCCGGTCTGGCACCAGACACAAAGGGCCGCAATATCAGGATGCGGATATCGACCACGCGGAATGCAATGGACGGTTCTTTGTACGTCTCTTTGTCACGGGGTAATTTGTTTTCGATCGATCTCTATACGAAATATATGAGTAATTACACCGGACGTGCGTACACAATGTAATTACCTAATGATACATTGTTATGCTTTGAGCATTTATCTTGCCACCCGACGCATTCAACTTTATTAATATGATCCATGAGTTATTTAACAAAGGATCGGCTAACAACTTTGCTCAGTGGTATAATTTTCCACATCAAAGATATTATATTACTATAGATACTTTGGAATTATTAAACCGGGAAATATACGGCTTACTGATTATATATTGATAAATTGGAGTATGTATCCTTCATTATCAACGCATTTCGCAAAATTGAATGTAAACGTAGATAAATGAACAATCATCAAATTATATAACTTAAATCGGGTTACAAAATTATGAATATTTCAAAGAGAACCCACGATATAAAATCACTACAAAATCGAATACGTGGCAGGATATCCTTAATTTCCGGCGTATTTCCCTATCGCACGAGGGCTCAAACTTTATTCACCATGGTCAAATACAAAGGAACGATCCCGGGGAAGTCGCGAAAGGGGAAATTAATTCCTGAACAATGAATTCGGAAAATTATCGCACGGTTCGCCCAGCGACGCGAAATGAGAGCGAATCGCGATTTCTCTTTTCACCTTCTTTCTTGGATTCGCGGCACATTCTTGCCAGCGAATGACAAACGACGAAGAAACTCCGAATACCGAGGCAGTAGAAGGTCCTTGCGAAACCAGACGTTGTCTACGTATTCAAACTTTCACAAAGGAGCTGGAGGCAATTGATGACCCATCCTTGCCGCAGGAATAAAAAAGGAGAACCGGAGCGAGGATCTATCACTTTTTTCATCTCTAGCTACTTTTCCGACATTGTGTGATGAAACTTTTCACTATTAAACTTTTAAACATTCAAGGAGATACGACGATGCGCATTGGGAGTTAAAGGGCACATTTGCTACGAAAATTAATAATGAAGATACGATAGCCGAGTGTTGTTTATGAAAAAGGAATACTAAGGAGAAAACGCAATATTGCTTCACCCACGCACATTTGATGTAATATCACGATAAAATTATATCAGAGAAGATATGCCGAGGGGAACACGATTCCCCGGAAACAAAAAACAAAATGGAGAAGATTTCCCGTGGAAGTGAGATCGAAGAAAATCATGAATATGTATTTGCATCTGTTTCGTTCATACAACTCGGACAAGATGTAGGATTAAAGCTCCGAGAGGGCAAATATATTAAAAAATTGCAATAAGAACAAGGAAACGATCTTTGCTTTTTTATGTCAATATTTGAAGCAATTTAAACGAAAGATGAAAGTCTAATAAAAATATCTCCGTATCTCTATCTTAAAATGTCCAAGATTTTTTGTATTTTTTTTCGTCGCGCGAAAAAAATTACGTTTATCCAAGATTAATCTGTGGTGAGATCGATAGGCATCTCTCACTCGTTGAATTCGATTACTCGCTTGCAAGCGAGAAAAACTGCAATCGATACCATGGTTTCCCATCGAATACGCACGCGAATGCACACGCAAAGGAATGCTGTATGTTAGCACATCGCCAAATTGCAACGATATTGATTACTGATTAATAATTAGATTTGCCAGGTACCTGTTAACTACACAAAAGAGAGAACAGGAGTTAGAAGGTTGATATAATCGATCAATTCGATTAAATTGAACTGGATTACATAATCTGAAAAACGCGCACGTCCGTTCGCGCATGTGACGTGAATAAATATTTTTAATTTGCGAGTGAAAGAAATTTAAAATAGAGAGAAAGCTTTTTCTCAAATTCATTTACGCTATCTTCCCAGCTAATGAATAAGATATATATATAACTGTAAATTATAAAATTTTACATAAAAAAAATACTCTCTTGAAATATTCATATATTTTTTAACAAATATTAAATGACACACTTTACATAAAAAATTACTATTTATGTAAAATGCATAAAGATAAAACGTGTTGGTATGAGGTTGTAAATATCTAATTACATTACAGTACGATCGAACGAGTAGATGAATCAGTAACGGATACTACATGCGAATGAGTGATCGAGTGACAGAAAATGAAAGAGGGTACGCGTATGCGGAGTTGGGGCCGACGATACGTCGCACTGGGATGGTATAGTGGTGCCTACCCTAATGAATCTATTACTGCCGGTGAGCGACAACCCTCGCCTAGCAATCACTACAGATAACACGAAATGCTGTCGTATGCATCCTGTTTACATGGGTCTGTAGATAACGGAGATGAACATCCGAAACGATCTATCTCAGAATTGCAATATAACTGTACCGGGATCATGTGTGAATCGCAAACGAGGATATACAAAAGAAAACACGCGCGCGAAAGTTATTTGCATCGATTCAGGTCAGCGGATAACAATGTTATGATATTGCAATCAACTTTGGATTAGAAACACTTCGGGCAAGATCATGGAACGTGATCCCTAACAACGCTATCGGGAATCGTTTATGAACCCATAACACAACATGGCTCGCATGGCTATCGATCAAATCATTTGACAATAACTGAACGGATAATATACAAGCTTGGTTTGATTCGATAATTATCATTCATCAATCTAGTCTCTAAAGCTCTCGAAATTATAAAGAATCTACATCATTACACAGATTGCAAATTAAAAAAAAAATAATATTAATTAATATCTATAAAATTTTACGAATAATAATATATATGTTTAATTTTTTAAATACATTTTTGTTATATCGGAGCAATTTAAAATTACATAAGATTACACATCTTGTTGCAATCTAGATAATCATACAATAAATCTCTACTATGGAAAAAAAAATAATGTCATTCTGAGAGCACTTTACAACTATATTGATAATACGAGTTTTCAGGATATTCGATATCCTGTTTCGGGAGCAGATGTTCGGTTATGCGACTTTATCTGCGATGGTTACGACGTCATTTATGCAATCTTTCGTTTCCTCTGCAATTGACGGGCGGCAAAATTTCCGAGGGCGAGCAAAATTTTGGGAAGAGCTTTATATAAAGAAAATGGACCGCGAACACAACCTCGAAGCCACTTCGCTCCGCCTTTTATTAGATATTGTGCCCGTAACATGACAGAGGTGACGACAATGGGTCCATGAAATATATGGATCGCGGGATTGTATCGTCTTCTAGGAAGAAAAAAAGGGATAAGGGAAGAGTATAAGAGCGGTCGTGCAATTGTCTGATCTTGCTGGACGAAATACGCTGGCCGCCTTCGGGCTGTCTACGAAGCAGCTAAAGATTACGGGCTGGGCCGAGCAACGATGAAATGAAAGGCAATCTCGGTTATTGGCTCGGTCGCGCCAAGATTCACAGTTACGATCGCAAGATTGGCCAAAGTATTTTGGTGCAAAAAAAAATTTGGTGTCATCAGCCGTATCAAGGATCATGGAAGAATAACGTTTGATTGCGCGAAGATGCACGTAATGCACTTGAAAATTATCAAATCAACAAGGAAGAATAAAACTTATAAATGTCGCAATAAGTTCATGTTGTTATAAATAATTCGAATCGATCAATTAATTTTGCCTGTAATTTTATTTTTTAATGTGACATATATATAAGGGCAAAGATCATTTGCAACGTAACGCAGCGATTCAGATGCCGACGTCTCTTTGAGGCGCATCTTCCTCCCTTTTATTACGCCTCGTCGTCCTTTCGAAGTAAAAAGAAGCTACTAACAAGCCAAAGTTATCAGGGTCACGGCAACGATTACTA